CCTCCCCATCTTGAAGTGATAAGTGCACTAGGTTTGCAGTGAAGTGAAAAAGGCAGTTTTATGTTTTCATGTCACTTTTTGTTTCTTGCTATTTCACAGAGCTTTTTGCTCCATCATTCAAGATACCTTATTCCCTGCTCTTCAGAGGTTCTGCTCTAACTGCAGCCCAAGACATTAGAGCCCTTTTCGTCCCCTTTACCCGGCTGGGCTCCCAGCTGAGGCTGGCCTGTGCTCTTTCTTGTGCTGCAGTTTTTGCTTTTTACAAAAAAGATGAGCTTTGGGGATACAGGAATCAGGTTTAGCAGCCTGGATTTGACCTGGATGTTCACACACTCTGCAAAACCTGTGGATGTGAATGTGCTGTTGTACAAAAGCATGATCCACACTGGCTTAGTCCATCTGGATTGTTGTGGAGGAGTTGCCTCTGGGGTGCCCAGCAAGTGTGAATACTACCAGGGAAGAGCATGGCATCACCCTCTTCTCAGGAATGTTGGGCTGCCTCACATTTATTGTCTGCTTTGTGCTAGCTTGTGGCAAATGGTTTGATGCAAAAATTCTCACCTGTCTGACTTGTGATTTGTTTTACTGCAAATAGCCTCTAATAGACCTCCCTCCCCACCTGTTGTTTTGTTTCCAGGGTGCATGATGAAGCCTTTGGGTTCTGAATGAGGCAGTGATTCAGCCCCCGTTATCAGCAGAGAGGGTGGGAGGGGAAGAAGCCTGACATCCCCTCTTGGCTGCCTTGAAGCACACAGCTTTTGTGTCCTTCATCCCCCAGCTGTCATTGGCAGCAGAGGGAGAGTATCTGACTTCTCCATCCCGGTATCCAAAATCAATGCTTCCTGCTGAGCTACATGTTTTCCAGCTCTGCTCAGACACAATTGTTTGATCATTGTGTTTCTGCCTTTTGGGTATGAATAGTTTGCAGAAGCAAAGTTTAGCAGCTGGCTGAAGCTGTCAGCAGAGTTTTGATCCATTGGGGGCTGAGACCCACCCACCAACGTGCAGGCACAGATGTGCACACACACAGATGTGCACGTCTGACCTGTGCAGGTCGGCCCAGGGGCAGGTAAGGGCACAGTGGATGAGTTCTGCATCCAGCAGTGTGGCCATGGTCACAGCTGCTCCCCCCACAGCTGGAGTGACCATGCAGATGTGGATGATGCTGAGTGAGCTCAGTGTATATCCTGCCCAAGGCTTGAATATGTGCTGCTCTGTATCAAGCAAGACACCTCCGCTGCTCTGTTGCTGTCTTTAAGCCCAAGGAATGAGTCATAGCAAAATGCAAATTTGTTCTACCCCAGGGAGATATTCCCATCATGGACTCAAACATATCCGTAGGGCTGTCATTCCCTCCAGGAGATGCCTGTACTCCTGTTCTTTCTGATTTTGAGACACTTGTGCTCCCATAGTCTGAGAGCACTTTTTAGGCACTGATGTTAGACTGAGTGTCTCTGAGACAAATGCCTTCTCTTTGGAAAAACTGTCTGAAGATTCTTGTAGGATCCCATGGCAGAGCCAAGGAGAGCTCTGCAAGACCCTTGGCTCCCCAGACTCCACTCCCAGTGCAAGGACACATAACAGCTGGAGATGGATGTCTCTGGAATGATTCTGAAGGGTTAACAAGACATGCCAGGCCTCCTTGTACTTGGTAAATGAAGCCAGGCTGTTGTGGCATCACACCACAAACTTTTACAAACCTGCAAGGCCAGGGCTTAAACAACTGTGATTGACCGAGGCTAACAGTAAAAGAAATAAAATACCTCTGATCTAACAGAGCTGTTGGCTGTAAAAGACTCAGGCAAATACACCTTGAGTGAAGAAACACGAGAAATGGCTGTTTTGGGAGAAGGCAGCTCTGGTGGGAAGGGTGGCAAAAGTTTGCTTTGATGCAGTGTAAAAGTATCCTATGATCTCCCAGCCCTTGTAGCTGAAACAGTGGTGCCAAAGTGGATTGTGTCCCTGTGTGACTTCAAGATGACAGTGATGTCTGAGTGATGCAGCTGTTGATCCCTCCTTTGCAAAAGGTTCAGTGTGGGTCTCTTGGTGACAGAGGAGTCATCTGTGTTATACTCGATGCCACCTTTGTATTTATAAGCTGATATTTCTAAGTGTATCTATGTGGCTGTATAGCCACAAGTCCAGTAGAGGACTGTAATTAAACTTGATGTAATTTATTTGCAAGGGTGGGTTCATTTATACATCTTGGAATTGTCTGTTCTAATCCAAATCTCCTTGAACAAACAGCTGTGAATTTGCATCTCATAAAGTAGCCAGTGTATTTCTATGGATGGTATGAACTCAGGCAGAAGTGTGAATATGCCTTCCTAGCAGTAAAATAACCTCCCTGGGTTCTCTGCAAACTTGTTCATATCTCAGCTTTTGATGGGCCACTGGCACAAACTGTTTTGCTTGTTCATTTTTCTTGAATTCAGATGTGTGTACTTTTTTCTTGATAACTTGGCCTTTCATATGCATCTTGTTGTTTGGATGTGAATAGTACAGCCAAATGTCTGTTGCCTTTGATGCCTTTGTATGCCTGGAAGCTGTGGTGCTGTTTTCTTACAACTGAATTGGGTGTGAGTGATGAAGAGTGACTGGAAGGTTTAGTAAAAAACAAGCTGTCTTCTGTGAGGTATCTGTGAAAGAAAGGAGAAAACAAAGATGTGTTTGATCATCAAATAGGAAGGGAATAAAGATTCTCTGGAGAAGGCATAAAACAGGATAACCAATGTCTTCTGGAGAATCTTTGTGGTAAAATAACTCCACGTTTTGAGGGGAGCCTTAGACTTCATGCCATAACCCTTAACCTCTTTTGGAGACCACTCTGTAGCTCACATTAGTGATGGATAAAGAGTGGTTTCCCAAGCTCTGATGTAGTGGACAGCCAGGTGATAAGTGAAAAGTCTAAAAAGATGTAGTTAAAGTGAGCAACTGATAGAGGAGAAGGAAGATGAGCAATTTCCCATGGTTGCAGGGAACACTGCAGTCTTGTTTTTGTAGAGCCATGGGCTAGCCCAGGTGGGAGCTGACTGAGATAATGTGGGAAATAACTTGGAGGATCATCTTGCTGGTGTTGCAGTATATGTAAAAAAAAGGGACTGTGGGTGGATACTGAATGTAGGAATGTGTGAAAAACACATTGCTTATAAATGCAGGGGGGTCTCAAGAGACAAACTGTGTTGTAGCAGTACATCTCCAATGTAGACTTGCCATCATGATCTCCTTCCAAAGTAAAAATCCTGCTGATCTCTGTTCCTGGAGAAAGTGGGTCTAAACCAAGAGCCCCAAAGGGTCAGTGGTGGTTATATTGTCAGGCCATCACACTGGAATAATATTGGCCTTTCAAGGCAGTTAACAGTATCACTGTACATTTGGCTTCCAGAAATGCAATTAGAAAGGATAAATGATTATCTAATTTGCTGAGGCATTTCGGTGAGTTTATTGGATTGTAGCTTCAGTATTTGCCATGAACTAAGCAGAGGAATCTCTGCAATTTTCAGTGCCATTAGTTTTTGTTCCAGAGGGTGCAGGTGCATGGAAAGAGCTGTTTGTGGTTAGATAGGGAAGGAAGTCACATTCCCTCGTGTTCATCATTCTCATCTCTCAGCCATGGTGTTGATTTTTAGAAAGGTGACCGTTACTTTTTCCGCCCTTTGTTGTTGCAAAAAATGTGACTAGAAATGGTTATTTAGGACCAAAGTATGTTTGAACTTTAGAAACCCACAAAGGTTTTTTAACTTGTGCCCTTCCAGGGACACTGAGATGGGCAAAGTGTTATTTTCTCTTTGGGGCCAGTTCTGCAGAATATGTCAGTACTTTGTCTTTTAACAGATTGGCCTGGCAAAAGTAATTCATGGCCGCTTGTGGGGTTGTTTTTTCCCTCCTTTCCTCTTTTTCCTTGTCTCCTTCTTCCCATTCCCTCTTTTCCCACTGTGAACTGCAGGTGTGGACTGCTGCAAGTGGGAGACAGAGTCCTTTCCATCAATGGCATTGCCACGGAGGACGGGACCATGGAGGAAGCCAACCAGCTCCTGCGGGACGCGGCGCTCACCAACAAAGTGGTGCTCGAGGTGGAATTCGATGTTGCAGGTACATTCCCAAAGGAACTGCTGCTCCTCTCTGCCCTCAGGACTCTGCCAGTGCCTTGCTAACCCATAGGAGGGAGTGTATCCATAAGGCTCAGAGGGAAGGGTGAGAAAGCCTGTGAGGACCTTCTCCATTTCTTGTTTTTCTCTAACGTGCACTGAGGTGGCAGGTTCTGATCCTTTCATAAATGTTCTGTGCTCATTTCTTGGCTGAGATAAACCTAAGGAGTGGATGAAGAGGACAAACTTGAAATATTTGCCCATTAATAGCAATAATATTTATATTCATTTTTGGCCTTGAAGCCAGGAGGGAGCCAAAGCTATAGGGTAGGTGTAAAGTGCAGCTTTGTATTAAAAAAGAAATGTATTTTCCTTTTACATTGACAGAGCTGCTTCAGTCTTGAAATACAGTGTCATGTGAGTGCTTAACTTGATGTTCAGAGAATGTATTTTTAATGAGAATCCAAATTTCAACCTGAAGTCCACAGTGCCTCAGATAACCTTATTTGAACCAATAAAGCAGTGCTTTATGCACTTGTTTTTTTGGTTCCAAAGAAACCATCTAAACCATCTATGCAACTGAAAACTCTCTTTTTTCTCCTTTTTTTTTCTTTTTTGTTTGTTTTTGGCTTTATAGAGTCTGTCATACCCAGCAGCGGCACTTTCCACGTTAAATTGCCCAAGAAAAGAGGTGTAGAGCTTGGAATTACAATCAGCTGTAAGTATTGCTCAGACCTGCAGTAGCAGTTGCAAGAGCCTCTGGTTTCCACACAGGCATTTTAGAGGACTCAGCAGAGAGAGATAAGATCATATGGGGTTTCTGTAGCACTCTGGTGCTCGTGATTTATCCCAGAATGAATCAGATGTATGGTTCCTGCCTCCATGAGCTGGCAGCTGCAGAGAAAAGCAGCTGCATGAAGGGTTGGGACAAAGGATGTGTCTCAACTGATCACTTGATCTGTGGTGCAGAGTAGTAGTATATTATATACATATATAAAATTAGTAATATATATATATCATTAGTAATATTATTTTTATTTCTTTGCTCACACTTATATTCTTTTTAAAAATAATTGCCTGGGTCTGGTGGGACCCTTGCAAAAAGAGGTGGAGGGAGGAGAGCAAGTAAGAGGTGAGCCCAACAGCTTGAAGGGTAGAGAGGGGAAACAGCCAAGAGGAGGAGCATGAAGAGGGTGGTGGGTCTTAGAGACGTGGGAAGACACTTTAAATTCCAGGGTTTGCCAGGAATTGTTTCATGGACAAACTTAAGTCATGCAGAAGGACAGCCAGGTGCCAGGACTTGGTGTGCACTGAGAGAAGAGAACATAAACTTTTTTCCTTCTTTTCTCTCTTCTCTGCTCACTCTTGATTAATTATCTCTGTTTCTCTTCTAAGCATCATTTTTCATTTAAAGATCTTTTGGCCTCTTTGGAGAGGATGCTGTAGGGGGATGATACAGACAGATCCATCCCATTTTTTGGCTAACTTGGGGTCTTGTTATGCTTTGTGTCAGTGAATTTTTCCTGTATGGAAACACATGCATGTCTCTGATCACTCATCCCTCTTTCACTTCTGGGTAAAGTGAGTTGAATCATCTCAGGTTCACCATGTCCAGAAACTGCCACCATCTCTGATCTGAAACAGAGCAGCTTGTGAGACTGCAATAATGGGATCTCTTGTCTAAGCCCTCAGGAGCACGGGCCCAGCTGTGTCTGGGGAATGGAGTTGCAAGGGACACTTGAAAACTAGGTTTCATTAAAAGAGATAAGCTATGGTAATTACCTCTTGACATTTACAGCATTAGTTAGAGAGTTAATTGGAGGTGTTCTGGTCTAAGTGGGGTGATTCTCAGGAGTGACTGGAACATTGACAGGATGATGCCTTTGCACCTTGTGATATTTCTTCTCCCTCGTCTCAGCTTCCTCCGTTTGTGCCACAAGGACAATCCTGAGAAATAACAGCACAGTATTTAACATTTGGCTTGGTAGCAATTACTGTCTGAAGACATCAAAGTGCTTTCTGAAAGCAGCAGGCTGTCTGTAATGGCATTTCACTGGCAGGGAGCAGTGCACGGTGCAGACTGTGCTGGGCTCCAACCTGCTGCCCTGCCACTGCCTTGGCATTCCAGCCTCAGGGAGCAACCTAGGATAATGGATCTGGTTGCAAAAACTGACTCGAGCAAGGCCCTATTAAGTTTCAAAGTTTAGTTTGTGTCTGGGGCTAGAGAGTAAAATGAACCTGAGAGCTGATGGCAAGAACATAAGTTTTTATTTGTGAAGTCTTATTTGAACGGGATCTGCTTTGGATGTGCATTTACACTTCAAACGTATTTTTATGTTGGAAAGGTTTTAATTTCAAATTTGTTTAAAAATAGAGATTTCACACACTTTTTTGAAATCACTACTAATAGAAAGAAACTAACCCCTGGGTTTTAAACAGATGCCCATTATCCAACTACAAAGCAGCTTTTTAATGCTATAATTGATTTGATCTTTTTGATTGTTGAATATGTTTGTAGGACATTGTTTAAGTAATCCAAATGCATAAACCTAAAATATATTGCAGTTGTTTCCTCAGAGAAAGTCAAAATTATATTTACAAATGGAGAAAAAGACACCCAGAAAATGTAGTGGCAAGGATGAAGTTCAAGCTGAATCCTAATTTTGTTTTAATATATTAGTCTATATAAACCTGTGTCCACGTGATCCTTAGCAAATTAGATCATCATTTTTTCACTTTGCCTCTGACCAGGCAGATAAAAATACCAGTTTCAAACATTAAAACCAAAGCAAGCAGCCTTATGTTAAGTACTTCCTGCAGAGACATGATGTGCATGCAGGAGTGTGATGCAAGCAGCAAAAGAAAAGAGGTAAAAATAACCCTTCTCTGTTTTGCTCAGTTCCTTTCCGCTCAGTTCTGCTGACTTGAGTGCTTGTGTAGATCTAGAAGCAGCTTTTACAGCTTTCCTTCTCATATGGAAAAGTATATAACTACTGTTTTAAAGGAGAGGACTTGGTTTACTGGTCTCTTGCATTGGATTCCTGTTCCCTACTCTGTAAAAGTGGAGCAGCTTAAGTAGATGACAAGGTGAAGGGGTCAGTAGAAGACCCACTGCACTGTCGTGGCCACAGAATTGGCCACAGTTCATTTATTTATGAACTTTGTATTCTAGCTACACTACAGATGTAAGATGAGTTGCTTTCATTGAGTTTTACCTCTTGGCTTCAGCTGGCTTCTCTGTAGTTAATTCCTCTGCCTTCTTAAATGGGCAGAAAGTGTTACGACCTCATCAGAGGAGCACTACAGAAATAAATGTGATCAAGTTCTTGCTGTGCTGTGGCTCTCAGAGCTAATTGGGAGATGGACTAACTAAAGGGTAAGGGGAGAGCAAATTCTTGATGGATGTGTTGGAAGAATTCACATAATGGAGCTGGCTGCAGAAGGAACCATAAATCTGCTGGAATTGCTCATAAAAGGGCTGAAAACCCAGGAGATTTGTGTATGAGGAGGGCAGATGCTTCTGGTTCTGGGAAGAACATACAAAGAGGGGCTGTACTTACTCCTGGTGAGGGGCAGATGTTTGCTGAGGGCATTTAATCTTCTCAGAGATCTCAAGGTTTTCCAGAAAGAGGAACTTGGGCTGGATGAGTCTCCAGGTGAGGTCTGAGAGCATAGATGGGTTTTGTCCCCCTGCTCAAACACAGTGTGGCAAAGGAGAACAGCAAATCCAGATGCATGGTGGAAAGACATGCATATAGCACTATTTCCCTTTCCATTCCCCAGAGATGAGTACAAAATCCAAGGGGTGAGGCTCTCACTGACAGTGCTTTGTACTCCTGAGGGATCTCTGTGCTCTCAAGCCTCATTTCAGCCTCCTCCATATGCTAAATGAAGAGCACTGGAGCTGCCATGTGTGTGCTGCTCCATGCACTTTGTCCAGGGGTGAAGGGACATGAAGCCAGTGAAACTCTCATTTTCTCCATGCTCCAGTACCTCAGCCTCTGTCCCAGAGAGAAGGGCATTTGCTTGTAGAGCAGCTGCTCTGGCTGAGGAGCAGAGCATGCTCCTTTCTACTCCAAGAATTCTGGAGCTTACCTGTTTGCAGCAACCTCTGAGGCTCTGAGTGGTGAGGATGCAAATACAGGGAAACGGAGAGTTTTGGCACAGGGATGTGAAGATTTGGCCCTTGTTAGCCTGAACTATCATCTCCATTAGCAGAACACATGCCTCAAATGCTCTGATGTTTCTGGCTGCATCCAGTTCTAATGGTGCAGTTATGCCTTTGAAGGTTGAAATCTCTTACACATTAAAATCTCCAGCAGTGAGAAGCTAATAGTCACGAATTCTCGTACGTTCAATACCTCACCTCTTAAAATAAGATATAGATTTGTTATTACCCTCTGGAAAATGATAGTTGATTACATGAAAGATTGCCTTTGTATTGAGAGTTTGGGATTTTTTTCTGTCTCAAAAATCCTCTCCAAGGGCTGGTTGTGACATTCACTGTAGGGTAGAGGTGTGTTGGTGTTGCTGTTTAAAGAGATACTGAAATTGTCATTAATTTTAGATATGCATTAATACTTTATATGGCTTGTTTATCAAATTACCTTTATATATCTTAACAAATCAATTCCTGTGCCCTTGGTGTGAAGTACTGCAGATAAGGAGCAGGCAGTATATCTGCTTGCAGGTGATAAAACCGGAATTTGGGTAGATAGATAACTTCGATTAAGTCGCTTAAGCAGTGTAATCACTGTCCTAGTGAGAAGATGGATCTCTGAGCCAAGCAAATGTAGTTTTGCTGGCTCTGTATTAGCCTGTGTCCTGCCACCAGCCCAGCTGAGCATGTCTGCAGGCAGGGCAAGCTCAGCAGCCCCCTGTCTACCCCCTCATTCACACTACAGCTGATTCACTCCAGTGCTTTTATCCTGGTGGGATGTCCTGATCTGGTTTTGCTGCCTGGAGATTGTGAAAGGAAAAGGATCTGTGATGAGGCAGTATCCTGCTGGAGGCACTGATAATTTACACACCTGCTGCTCAACTTAATGAATGATAGAGGAAAAAGTTGGGTACTGAGGATTTGATTTTCACTGCTGCTCTTTGTAATCAATTCTGATGCACTTTTTTCCCTCGTCTCATTCCTTAGCTATCCTGAGATTATTTGCTTTCTGATTTTGTTATTTCCAATTTAAAAATGCTTCTTATTGAAATGCATTCTTATGGCATTATTACAATTTCTCTAATTACACATTGGCAGTGTTGCTTTGGCTTGGTCAATAATAAAGGGCATTTTTATCGGGTTGATGCCTGTGAAATATGTGCTGGTGCTCCTTGGAGGGGAATAATTTACCAGTACAAGTCATTATGCATTCTATTAAAAACACAAACTGGACATGTGTTCCTGGCCTCATCATCCATCACAGTGTAAACACCTAGTTAGCCACAATCCCAGCAGAGAGACTGAAAGCAATTTATAAAAAGTAAATAACAGTATTGATCAATTCACCTTTTTATCACTGCCCTGTCACCACTGCCAAGCAGGGTTTTCATTTTGAGTTTCTTCCCCACCACATGCTTCTACCTTTACCAGCTGTTGATTTATGGAGCCTTCTCTGGGCCACTGGAGCAGATTTAAACTATCTTTTGTACTGGTAAATCCACCGAAAATACAAATGTGTCTGAAAAAGAGTCTGTTTCCACCTGAAGTGGTTTGCCCTGGCAGATGGAGGCCACAGCCAGGATTCCTGCTGAGATGAGCATGGGTTTCTGTACCAGCTCCTGCCTCCATCTCTTCCCTTGACTTCCTTTGCTGCCATCTCCATTTCACACACAGGAAAGCAAAACCCAGAGGCAAGGCTGAGTGTCCAAACTGTCTTCCTGCAACAGAGTTCCCAAGACAATGTCCTTTGAAGAGAAATAACCACATTAACAGGATAAATGAATGATAAAGAGGCTTTACTCATCTGTGCAAATGTCTTAATGCCAAAGACCACAGCCCTAATAATGATGTACTTTAGGTTGGTGCTGTTTTAATTGCAGACAAATTGGAAATTGTCTATTCAAAATCTCACCAGGGATTCATGTATCTAATGGCTCTGACCTCTACTGAGCCACCCCTTCGGTGAAATTGCAGCTCCCTCACTGTCAGACAGGCAGCTGTTGCACAGAGAAGCATTGTTGTCCCGTGTGAATGGCCCAGGATGGTTAAAAATGTGAGTCTCAGGGGTGCTCAGGGCAGCCTGATCCCAGCAGACAGGCAGGAAGCTCACCTGGACACTCTGCTGGGTGCCAGGAAGGGCTTTGGGATGCCAAAGGTTAATTAATAGAGTCAGTAATGACAGGTTTTTAGAATAAACAGCAAGCCTCTGTTCTGTGCTGTGAGATTTCATTATCTTAACCTTGTATCTTATGCCTCTTGAGAGAACATGGTTATTCATTAAGTCTCTCTAACTTACCCTTCAGATTTGATGGTTTTATAAAGCCTTGCATTTTACATTAAGTAATTATATAATGTGATGATCCCCCATCCCTGGAAGTGTTCAAGGACAGGTGGGGTGGGGCTTTAAGCAACCTGTTATAGTGGAAGGTGTCCCTGTTCCATGAGTGGAACTAGATGATCTTTAAGGTCCCTTGCAATCCAAGTGATTCTATGATGATTCTGTGATGAACATTTAGAACATTTTACATTTACAAAGGCTGCCATTTATTAAAGTTTGAGTTCTCTGTTGATTTGGACAGCTGTATGCAGTTGTATATGGCTCTTCCATTTAACTCACATCTCAAGAATATCTGTTCTGAGAGCAAAGCTTCTAAAAAAAAGCCTGCAAACAAAACCCAGAATGATTTTTTCCTTAAAACTTGCTTTGTTCTGGAATAGATGAAGCACTTGATTTGTTACTCTTGCATCTGTCATGGGAAGCTTGTGCTATGTTCAGTGCTGACCCCAACTGTGGAGCTTCAGAAGGACAAGGTCTCGTTCTCTGCTCAGACTGAGTGTGTGCAGGATCCCCCCACGTGTCACAAGACTTGCAAGGCAGATGCTGAGATAAACATAAATCCTGCAGAGCTTGAGGCATGTTGTTGTCTATACTTGCTTGCCTTTTTTTTTTTTTTTGTTCCTCCCTCTTTGCTTTCTTGGTGTTCATGGTCACTGGACTGGTTGTTCAGCTGTGGCTTGGTCAGGTTAGAAATGGCCATCCCAGCCCACCATCAGGACAGGGTCGGATCCTGCCTAACCCCCTTCTGTCACACTGCCTCTGCTTTGAAACTAGTAAACAAACCTGGCAGTGAAAAGTATTTTTGCTAACCTGGATTGTTTTGACAGAACCAGGCTAGGGAGTGATTAAACATGCAGCAATGCCACCTGACCCAGGGCTTGGGGTGTGCTCACAGGGTCTTCCCTCACTGCTGCTCAGACACTCCGTGCACCTCAGTCAGCAGCAAATATATGTCCTATACTGAAAAGGGGAGCAACAATAACAGTTACCAGAGTGATACATCTCAATCCCTGTGCTGTTTGTCCATGGTCTGTGGCCTACTCAGTCAGTGGGGGATTTCTGCACTGTTTTTGCCTGAACCCCACTCTTGTTCCCAGTGCTCAGCTCTGCCCAGTGTGTCCTATCCTGTCTGCAGTCTGGTCCATGCTGTGGACAGGCTGAATATAGGCACAAGCCCTCTGGGAATCTCCACAACACATCCCCCTCCCTTAGGTCTGCAGACAGAAGCAAACATGAGTGTCCAGTCCAACATTGTCTGGTATCAGGCTCCAGTAAGACATGGGGTAAAGAATTCCTCCAGGCTCTGTACCATTCAGCAGTCACATTGCTGTGACTATTACAAAATCAGTCATGGTCTGCTCTTTGCTGTCTGATCTCACTGTGGTTCTCAGCCCTGCCACGACTGAGATTGGCTGTCTTTTTGCTCTCTTAGTACAGAAGGTTTGGTTATTTCTGGGAGAGGGTATCCTTGAAGGTGTTGGGTTAGACATATGTTTTTAAATATCATAAATGAATATAAACAACAGAAAAATCTAGAGCAGAGAGGTTGGTAAACACTTCCTATCTCTGACATTCTGGGTGCTCTCTAACTGCTGTTCAGACAGGTGGATCTCTGTGTGCTTGGTGCCACGTGCCTCACAGATATTTTAATCTCTGCCCTGCACCTGATATGTTCAGAGGCTGTGAGTTTCTTTCTTCCCACACAGTTTTTTTTGAGAAGCTGAGAAGCTCTGTCAACTTTAAATGAGGCAAAGCAATTCCCATAGCAAGGCAGGAGGGGAGGATGCAGGGTGGATGCTCTTTCTTGGTGTATGTTTGACGTGTGGATGACAAGGAGGTCAGGAGGAGTTTGAGTCATAATTCTCTCTCTTGGGTATCTCAGGAGAGCAACAGGTCTTGCAGGCAAGTTTGAAAATGTAAATGCTCCCAGAGATGTGTACTCACATCTCGTGGGCTGAAAAAGTTATCAGGGTCAGCCAGGAGATAAGAGTTGAAAACCACCCACCCCTTCCAGCTCCAGCACAAACCACCCCTGATTCATCAGATTGTATGATTAAGTGCCCTAGAGAGCTGAGCCAGCTGGAAAATTGTGCTTTTTTCCCTGGGTTATTTTCCACCTGGAAAATTTCACAGCCCACTTTACTTGAAGAACACAGAGATGCTTGTATGGAGCATGGGGCTGAGCTGGATGCTCTCCGGGCAGCAGTGCTAATTCTGACTGCAGCCGTGGCCTTTGGCTCCCTTGTCTTGTGTGTGAGGGATGATGAGAAGTATTTGACAGTGCTGGGATTGGCAGTGCCACCTCTTCCTGCTGGACACCTCTTGCTGCTGGACACCACACATCCTCTCCTTCAGGAGTCCAAAGGAAATTAACCTGGGCAAAGGGCAACTGGCAAACTTTGCAGGGATTTATGGGTGTTTTTTTTTTTTTTCTTTCTTTCTGGAGAGGCTGCTAGAGTTCAACTGTGAAGCATCATTTTGTGATGGGAATATAAATCCCCTTTCCTTATGGCTGTTTCTCCCCCTTAACTGTCCACCATCCCCGGACACCAAACCCAACACCAGGCTTTGTACCATGTGGTTTTTTTGCAGCTGCAAGCAGAAAGCTGGGGGATCCTTTGATCATCTCTGACATCAAGAAGGGGAGTGTAGCACACAGGTGAGTGCAAGATTTTCCATCTGTCAAACCCACAGCAAAATGGCCCTCCATGATAGTTAGAATGTCTAGCAGAGAAATTGAATGCACAGTAGCACTTAGGTCTGGATATTTCCAGAATCCAAGGAGATCTCAGCACTAGAGGTTTTTCTTAGACCACAGTAGGGTTTGCAATAAAACCGTCTGTATTGAAGCAAATAGAGTTGAGCTAATGGAGAAGGTGACAAGGGCACTGGTTGAGATGTCTGCTGAGTCTCTAGGAGATGGATGTTCAGCATTTAAGAGCATGTGGCAAAGGGCTTCATATATCCCAGGAGGTGCTATGGCTCATCAGGTAGTTTGCCATGTCTCAGCTCCTGCTTTGGTGAACAGAGTGAGTGAATTGTGGGCACTGGTGGAGAACTGTGGGAATAACTCAGCATTTATTGACTTCCCCTCTGGTCCCAACTCCTCATACCAAGGCATTCAAAGGAATTTAGTGTGGCTGCTTGGCTTATTTCTGAGTGTTCACACAGGAGTTTCCATAAGGGGTAGAATATCTGTCAGTTAAACATCAGGCATTTTCAGGGTTGTAGGTTACCCAGGATATTTATCTAATTTCCTGGCTGGTTCTGTGTGGATACATCCTCTAAAAAACTTCCTCTCTTTAAAATTACAGATGTCCCAGACTCAACTCATAGTTGTTTTCCAGAAAAGATCAAGGACAGTAAAAAGTTAATATTGTCATTTCCACTGCAGAACTGAATATGTTGTGGGATTGAAAGGCAAATACAAATGTACTCTTAGTTTTCTTTTCCTCTCTATGTAGAACTGGCACCTTGGAGCCTGGAGACAAGCTGTTAGCCATTGATAACATCCGACTCGACAACTGCTCAATGGAGGATGCTGTGCAGATTTTACGGCAGTGTGAAGACCTGGTCAAATTGAAGATTAGGAAGGATGAAGATAACTCTGGTACAGAAATCCTGATGCAAACTGGTGCCTGTCCACTGTAATGACATTTCCCAATAGGTAGTGCAAACTAACAAAGATAAGGGCTGCTGCTCTCCAGTCACCACTTTCCATTTGATTATAGTTGATTTTTGTTATTCTGCCCTTAAGTGATGTCTGGAAGGTTAAAATCCTATTTGGTATGAGTGTCACTGCAGACTTCTGGCTTTTGCTTCTAGATGCTGCAAGTCTTTCCTATGACTACTTTCATTGAGGAAATGAATTCAGCGTTCCTGTTTTCTCTTTCAGATGAGCAGGAGACAACTGGTGCTATTATCTACACGGTGGAGCTGAAGCGATATGGGGGCCCTTTGGGAATAACCATCTCTGGGACAGAGGAACCTTTTGATCCTATTGTCATTTCGGGCTTGACTAAACGAGGGCTGGCAGAGAGGTGAGGTTTGGGGGCAGAGTGGTTGAATTGATTTGAGAAGGGATCTTGAACCGTGCCAAGTTTCCTTTGCTGTCATAAACTCTTCTTTGGTGTCTTAGTCTGCTAAGAAGGAAAGGTGCTCTGAAGGTACCAAGTGACATGAAGCAGGGTGGTGGGGGCTGTGCTGCTGGGGCAATGAAAGAGACACTTGAGGAAAAGTCAGATCCAGTGAGTCAGGTGAAATCTGCAGCCAGGAATACATATTTATTTTTCCCTCTTCTTCAGGGGTGCTTCCTGGTCTGGGATTTGCCATGCTCACCTTGTGTCAGGAGAGTGCCCAGCCTGCCTATGAAACTACCATAGACTCTGTCCAGGACTCCCCTGTTGGCTAAACTGGCTTATGGCCATTGCAGTGGTGTGTCCTGCTGAAACCAGGGATCTCAGGTGTATTCTGACCTGTTCTTGCCTGTTGCTCAGTGTGTTACATGTGAGGTATCTCAGTGCAGGTTGGCATGCCCAAGCATCAGGCACTTATACCAAATATATAAAGCAGATTTACCTTCAATCACTGGGGAGGTTACTATGTGCCTGGGTCTGAATATCTGGGGATGTGTGGGATTTAAGGGATCAGGACATTCCTGATAGTATAAGGTGGAACTGAGTCATACACTCTATCTTAATTAATCTTTCTATATGGGAGCTGTGACTTGTAAATAGATCATTTCAGCAGCCCTGACTCATGCTTCTCTAAGGGTCTCTTACTTTGTGCTGCCTGACAGGCAGAACAGCAACAAAAAAACCCTGAGCAAACTGGTGTAAAGTGCAAGACCTTGGGGATGTTTGACAGCAGATTTGGCCTTTTGGTTTTTTCCGTTTCAAGACCACACTCGCTCTTAGCTGGACTGTGAAATGGCTCCGTGTCCTTTTCTGCATTGGGTTCCCAGAGCTCTCAGCACACTGCTGTGAATTTCTATTGCTTCCCTTTGGTGCAGAGTGCAGAAGGTCTGTGTCTCCTGGGAAGGAAGGGGATGGACTTAGTCATTAGTGATTCTTCTCTTTGGGGATTTTATATCACTGCCTGCCACTGTAGGATTTGGTCTTTTTCCCTATAAAATAATAACCACAGAGTATCCAAGGCTTTTCTATGAAGCACTTCTGTACTGTACCTGCAACCCAGCGTGAGAGAGGTTAAGAAGAGCCAGCTCAAACGCTGTCAGGTGTCAGAAGAGAGTCTGGTACCTTTGTTGATCTCAGTTCCCTTTGCAATTCCACAGTTGTTCCTCCTTCCAACTCGGATACGCACTGGTGACTGCTACGTCCAGAAATGTAGTGCAGGCGAGTGCTGCAGTGCTACTGAATTTTGATCAGGAGTGAGCAGGCAGTGAGCAATGAAAAGCCTTGTGAGAAGAGTGATGGAGCTGTTCAGCACATTCACTGTGGCTGAGTAGCAGATAACAGTGTGGGGATGGAGCAGCACAGGAATGTCTCTGGGTAACCTTGGCTCCCTGTGGGGAGGGTGAGGAGCACTGGGATGAAGGCTGCTTGCAGGAAAGGTGCAATTTTTTCTCCTGTGAGTAAGAGAAGGGGGTGACTTGACCTTGTCAAGGCAAGAGGGGGGCTTCTAGTGTTATTCTAAATTGTCCCTTTCCTGACGTCTCTACCTTTATCTGTGCCACAGATGCCCTTACACAGGCTCTGATTGAAGGATGGGATCTAAATCCAAATCCATGCTCTTGCTGGAGCACAGGACATGGTTTGGCAGCACTGACATGGGGTGGATCTGATCCCAGTGTCAGATAACAGCAATCCATGGGCCATTCTTGTAGAGCTGCAAGTGAAAGTCTGCACTGCATCTTGGGCTGCTGACAGTGGGAGAGGCAGGGTGTCCTCTAGGATCTGTCACACGTCTGACTGTGGGTGACAGGCTGCCTAAGTAAAAAGGCTTCAGAGTCAGATGACTTAAGTTTTATCTTGACCTTGAACATTTTTTTCCTTGTGTCTGATCTCCTAGAACCCTACAAAGGCAGCTCAGACTGTTAGATCAGTGCTGAGCTGTGGCTCTCTTCCATGTCACTGTCTGTGCCATAGGACTTGTGTTTTTCCTTCTTCTTGACCAAGGGAGCATGCCTGAACAATACTGTTCAATTCTGGTTGAGGTGTAATGGTTTTCCAAGAGCAATTTTTGGCTATTGCTGACATTTCAAAGTGCCAGGCCATCCTCCTTTATTGCCACCTGCTCAAGTACGTGGGGGTGGCTGTTGGAGAGTTTGGGCCAGGAGGATCCAGCACCAAGACATGTTGGCAGGGAGGAAAAGGGACGGTGACCCTGCTCATATGCTAAGTTAATCCCAACCACATGCATGCAACCACCTCTTCCCCAGTGCTTGCTGGGAAGTGCTTGCAGCCCCTTTTACATCTTTCCACTTACCTGTTACTCAATTCTGTTCTTGCATGGCCCCTCTGAGCAAGAAGGGACATGCAGCCCATAGCTTCTTGGGCTGCTTTGTGTTTGAGGTGAATTAAGGACTGTTGGTGGTAATGGAGAGGCATGAGAGTCACTAGCTGGAAACTGCTTTCTTTATCAGTCCAGCTCAGCTTCTGTCTGCTTGTCCTCACAGGGGGGCCCTGAGAGGACTGAGCTTTGGTGTGCTTTCTTCCCCTTGAAGAAAAATACCTGGCTGAATGTGACCTTTCTCTTTAATTGTTTCTGTATTTTTCCCTGCTGAGACACTTTCACAGTTACTGCAGAGCCAGCGTGTTGTTCAGGGCTGGGTGGTTGGGCTGGTGTCTCGGATGGAAGTGTCCCCATGCTGGGTTCAGGGGTACAGCAGGAAACCCTTGAATGCTGAAACACTGCAGTGAGGAAAGGATTGGCTGTAAACTGTCAGCAGTTTAACTTGATTTTTTTTTTACTACAATAGATTAAACTTTTAAGACAAATACTCTGGTCCCACTTTGATCTGTAATTTGTTTGAATGCTCAAATGTTTCCCTAACAGCTTTTCCAGGCTGATTTGAGTGGGACAAGACGGACATCTAGTGGCTGGTGGGACCATCATGGCACGGCTGAGTACCTCAGAAGCAGCAGAAACTGCAGCCTGAGCATTCCTGCCTGCTGCTTGGCTGCATTTCCTGATTTGATGTACTTATAGTGGATATTTCACAGCAGTGTGTCTGCAGAACTTTGATAATTTGGGGAAAGCCAAGCAGCTGCTGATATATCAAATTCCAGTCCTGCAGGAGCTGCAGTCCAGTTTGGAGACGCAACCTGAGAGAGACAAGTTGCCATGGACAAAAAGATATTTCAGTCCAGATTTTCATCTCCTCCTGGCTCCATCACAGAGGTTCCTGATAGCAGAACCTCCTGCAGTACTGGAGGAGGAGGAGGAGGTGGTTGCTGCTCACGTGTGCTGGCATTTGGGAGCTGGAGTGTGAGTTTGGGAAGCCCAGTCCAGCCAGTGGTGAGCGTGGCTGTGGCAGTGGACACATCCTGCCCTGCCTGCTCTTCCCAGAGCTTCCCTGGGAAGAGGTAAAATGAACCTTTGTCTGTGAGCAGACAGAGGACAAAGATGGGGAAGGATGGAGAGGGGGGAGAGTTGCCATGACTTGTTAGTTTGCTCGTGCCTGTTGCTGAAGCCTGAGGATTTATCTAGGAGAGAGCAATAGCCAGTGCTGGAACGTGGCTGAGCAATAAAACACAACCTCTTCCCAGGCTGGTGGAGAAAGTCACAGGGGTGTAGCTGAGTAGGGTGAGCTTTAAGCATATCATTAACTACAGCTGCTTCAGCTCATGCTTGCACACACATGAGCAATTTTGTTAAGCTGTTTTGGTTTGGGTTTTTTCCAATAGATTTCTTGGTTTGTCTCATAATTTCTTCCCATCAGGGTGAACATGTCCTTCAGGTCCGTGTTTGATGACTGTGTTGGACTCCACATACTGAAAATGCTTGTGCTTTTAACCCCATTGCTTTGAAGTGTTTTGTGTCTAAGCTGGTCTGCAGCCCCAGCTCCCGAGGGGCTGGGATCTGAGGGGGCCATGTGTTCCCATGAGTATTGGAGGACCCAGATTCCTGGTATGTGGTGAAGAGGAAGTCACAGATATATATAGAGTGTACCAAGAGGGAACAAAGACATATTTTAAGGTGCTGAGAGTTAATTGCTTCAAGCAACAGCCAAGTGTTCTGTCTTCCAGAGGAGTTGCTTCTCTGGAGTTTCTGACAGTGCCTTTTCCCCCCAGAACTGGAGCCATCCACGTTGGGGACCGGATCTTAGCAATCAACAACGTGAGCCTCAAGGGCAAACCACTGAGTGAGGCCATTCACCTGCTGCAGATGGCAGGAGAGACTGTCACCCTCAAGATCAAGAAACAGACAGAGAGTGAGTTGGGGAGCTGGGCTGGGGAAGGCTCACCCCAGCAGGGACCCTGGGCCATGAGCAGGCACTGCTGGGGAGTTTCTGTTGTGTTGTGGAAGGTGAGATGAGGCAATGTGGTCATGGGCATGGGGGGGCACAGTGGGAAAACGTGTGTGCTTCTTGGACTGTGGACTCACAGATAAAAGAAAGGCAACTCAAGGCTTCTCTGTGGTGATGGGAAGAGATGGAACAGCAGGTTTATTGGCAATAGTAATTTTAAATTCAGATTGACACCTTGTACTGTTGTTGCCATTCCCTGTCTGTGTTGGTGTTTCACACAGAGGTGAAGCAGAAGTTACTTTTAGAAGTATAAGAATGTGGGATTTTTAAAAAAATATAATCCCGCTAAATGAGTAAGGAGACTCTGAGTTGGTAGACTCCATGAATTTCCCCCTGCCCTCCCATCTTTAATTCAACTGTTTGAAAACAATTGGCAATAAATCTGTTAGACCTCTTTTCCTGGCTTGGGGCTCTAAGATCATCTTTCAAAACATCTAACTTCATTCTAGGGATCCCCTTCTGGTTTCCCTGCCAAGCTCCCTGGGGCTTTGAAGCTGTTGTTGAGATAGTATAAAAACGCAGAAGCATATTTAGTACTGGCAGGTCACTGTTTTTATGGGGACAGAAAGGTGATTGGAAAAAAAGAGGGATCATGCAAATTTTTCTCCCTGATTGCATGACCACAGCCAAACAGAGGCTTTTTCTTTAAATTCAGAAAGTACCAGGTGCATTCTGGCTTCATTCCAGTCTCTCCCACACCCAGTATTTTCCTCTTATTTTGGTGTGATGCTTCTGCAGTCTGTAGATTTGGCCAGACTTACCCAGCCAGTGGCCCACAGTGCTGTGGGAATTAGAGGAAATCAAGAGATAAAGCTTTTCCAAGCAAGCATGGCCCTTGGGATGCCTGTCCTGCATCTGAAAAAGTGGCATCACTCTTAAACATAGAACTTCTCTAGACCTCAAAGCAGTTTGCAGGTGTGTGGCAAGGCACCTGTTTTACAAATGGGTGAAGACTGGGCAGGGGGTAGGGACAGGGCAAATAGAACTGGGGAATTGATTCCTCTTAAAGAAGCCCTAGTCTCTTCCCCTGTAGCCACATATCTTAGTCTTTGGTCTGAAATGCTCTTTTTTTCCTCCTGCTGACACTTAGCATTGTCACAGCCACTTGGTGAAATAATTGACATGCAAGTGCCTGTTGGAGACTCGTTAATCATTCAGAGAATGAAGCAGGTGTAATTGAAATTTCAAGGTAATCTTGAGTTAATCATGGTGAGCAATCTTCTGAAGGCTTGGAAAACAGGGACTTTCAGGACACTGGGCTTTGTTTGGTAAAAGAATCTGTCCTCATTGACAAATGCAGACTTTCAGAGGGCTTTTTATCCCTCAGGTCAGTGATCCAGGGTGTGGATGGCTGACAAGATACCTAATCAGCAAGGACTTTAAAATAACCAGTACAAAGAAGTGCTTGTGCTGAGAAATCATTCTTTGCATAGCTTTTGCCTGAAATTTGATATAATGATAATAAGGGCCTGTTAGCACTAAAATAAGGAAAGGGAAGGTCTGGGCTTCATCATTCACATTCAGCTCCCATTTTCCAGTCACTGATCAGGGGAAAGTCAGCCTCAAAATACCATACCCAGGAATTCCACTGTTGACACATGCATGGGAGGCTCTGGAGAGGTGGTGGTTAGCTTTGAGTTCTTAGAAGATAGTACACTTGTGGAAGAGGGCAATAACTTCAGCAGTGGTAGTAGTCATTGGAGTCTAATTAAAACATCTGTTTGTAGCCAAGTTTGCAGCCAGCACCTGCCCTGGTGCTGCTCTGAGTATAAAGGAGGCCCTCTGAGACCAGAGAAGCTACAGGGGATTGCAGGAGCCAGCACTTCTCGGGCAGGGCTGTTTGGAGGAAGCTTCCAAAAGCACAGGAAGATGTGCTTGTGAATTGAGATTAGGTCCCAACGCTCTCATATGTGGTAATCCTCAAATCCCCATGGCTGTTTCTTGTATTCCATGTGTTAAAAACTCAGAAAGGCATTTTGTCTTGATTCAGCCTGAGATAAGAGTAATGCATTAAATCCTTTCAGCTTCATTGCACATGCCTTTCTCAGCTACTTCTGAAGAGCTAAAGAGGTACTTTAAAGACTTACAGTACCTGGGCTTGCTCCCATGTCAGCATAAGCTTTTCCCTGAGGCTTGCTCTTCGTGCCTGCTAAAGCAGGATGTTCTGCTTGCAGAATCCTACCCCAAGAAGTCGGGGAGCATCAGCGAAGTAAGCGACCCAGAAGATGAGCTGACAGACTCCCAGAAAACTAGCAAGCTGTCTGAGATATACTCCACCACAGTTCCAAGTGTGGACAATACTGTGGAGTCCTGGGATGGCTCTGCCATTGATGCTGGGTATGGAAGCCAAGGTAAGCCAGGGTTGTGTTTTCTTAGGGGTCTCTGCTCTGTCTGGGTTTTATCTCAGAACATGAGCCAAAGCCTGTGGTCTGACCACATTTGTATGGCCTCTTGCTTCCAGCAAGGAACAAAATGTATTTTAGAATGCACTCATGTGGTGCTTTGAGTTGGTGTATCTGTTTAGGCTTTTATTGGCACATTTGTTCTGGCTTATATGGCATCATACTGTTCCCATCATTTTCGAAACCATTACAGCACTTTATAATTCACATAATCAGAGACAATATTCACTGGCCATATGTTTTACAGAATATTTGTTCCATAGCTCACTTTATTTCTCCAGAGAGGCCTCGTAGGACATAATAATCCTCTTCAGGATGTTTTAAAATCCACAAGAATGTCTTGTGACTAGAAGCACTTGCTTAACAAAATAATTAAGGTAATACTACAAGAAAGTTTCTCTAAGTCTCTAGTGAGTGATCAGATGAACACGTCTTTGAGGTCGGGTTTATTCAGCTGTAGCTTCTAGCAGATGTGGAACTGGAATGGAGAATAGTCATGGGAATATATTTTTACTTGGAGAAAAACACTGGGAAATAGTTGAGATTCAGTGACATAATCAGTTCAGATTTAGTGACATAAGCTAGCATTAGCCTGTATTGAAACAAACCAAAATCCTGAATCAACAGGAAACTCATGGAAAGACTCCTGTCCAGAACAGAATGTGAAAACAGGGAGGGATGCTGCAGGGTGCTGCTGCAAAGTGTGAGTGTGCTGTGCTCCCTGCACTCTGGCCCCGTTCAAAGGACGGCACTGCCCAGGTGTCTCTTTCCCCCTCCCTGCATCTTCCTTCAGCCTCTGTTTGTCTGAAGTCTTAATTTGGGAGCACAGTTGGGACTGGAGGCTTCATTAAGGAGGAATCCCCTGGCCTTCATAATGCTGCAATCCTTCTCCATCTAATTGAATGTTAACACAAGTTGGACACTGGGAAGTGATTGCTCTGCCGGTAAATTGAGAACAAGTAATTGAGCACAGCGCCCCAGGGAGCCGGCCTGGTGCCAAGTTGCCCAAGATCCACACACTGCAACTTTGCTTCAGGGGCTCTCTTGTCTTCCCTGGTAATTGCACTTGGCTGCATGGTGGTGCAGTGGTGCTGGCTGGGAAGTGGGATGCTGGAAGGTAGGGAGAAGGGCATGGAAGGTTGCCCATGGGATGGGCATGGAAGGCAGGGTGCAGAGAAACCTGGGAATCAAAGAGCCTGGAGGTTGGGGGTTACACCCCAAATGGAGAACTAGAGATCAGGCTCTGCAGCCTTGTAGGCTTTTAGGTTCATCCATAGCAGTAGGAGATGGCTCAAGGAAGGATTTAGGCAGGGAAACTGTGCTGGGCCTCGTAGGAACATGCCACCAGGTGGCTCTGAACCCCAGGGATCCAGCTCTTCTCTCTGAAAGGAGGTGAACCTGTAATGATGCCAAGTGACAGATCTGGACATGTGCCCCTGTACCCAGCCCAGCCCTGCTGCCCACCTGCTGCAGGGACCTATATCCAGGGCCCTTGTCCTGCTCTGGCAGCAGTGAGTGCTTCTTCACTGCTCTAAGATGTTGGCAAGCAATTTTCCTGGGGCTTTCTCCAGAGAAGTCTAACCTTTAAAAACACTCAGATGAAACAATCAGCTAAGTGAAATTACAGGCCTTGGCATTTTCAGAGAAACTGTTGGCATTATCTTCGGGTATTTCCAGTGCTCTTAGCTGTTTAGACGTCAAGTCTCCCTTAATTACACGTTTCTCCATTACTTCTTCCTGTTTGCTTGGCACAGCGTGTAATGGGAGTATGCAGTGTTTCTTGGAAAGACTCTGAGGATTTCTCCTGAAACACTGAATGGGCAGCAGGAGGTGAGCAGGGGACTCAGGAGATTATTTCTACTGCAGATAGCACTGACACTGTTGAGGAATGGTCTGTTTTGGAAGTTTTCTGTTTAGGCATCTTCTCATGAGACTTGAGGATCTTATGAATTGGTAGTGATGGTTTTTCACTTCTGGAGTAAGACACTGCAGTATGGAAAAGTCCATGGGGGCAGATGTAGTGAAACTTGTCTGATTTCATACTAAGTCTGTATTGATCTCCTGTCAAATGCAATATAGATGAGCCTCCTCTGCTCTCAAGCCAGCAGAGTTTTTCATCCTATTCCTTGCCTTTCACACACACATCCCTGAAGCAGCTTCCTGTACCTGCACCAGCTGATCCCAAAGACATAGGAGTTCTGAGAGAATTCTGACTGGCAGCTCTTAGGACCAGAGCTGACTCCTCCTCATTACCACCGCTGAGGGAAGCTTGTCAGGATCTTCCTTTGCCCTTTGAAGAACTTGTTGTATTTAAAGGTGACTGAATCAACAACATAATTTTTGCTGGGCTCAGTGTGGAAACAGGAGCTGTTAATCACAGCTGGAACTGGCTGGAGGTAGGATCTGCATCTGTGGGTATGTGTACTCTCAGGTCTGTGGATCCCAGATCCACACCATAAAACTACTGGGAAGCAGGGGAGAAAAGGAGAAATGGGGCATCCCATGTCCACATCCTGAGAAGCTGCTTTGATTAAAGCCAGAAGAGACTGGAAGAATTGCCTTTGGATGACTGAGATGGAAAGTGTACAATCCATGTGACCTCACGTTTGGAACCTAGGCTCTCCTGGCTCTGTGTTTCCTACTCTATTTGGGGTTTCTGACCAGGTATTGCCCTCTCTCTTCTTCCACCCCTTCTTGCCTTCCCTAGGTACATACATACCCCAGGCTGCTGGCATAGCCCTCCATCCACACGAGTGGAGACACAGCAGGCAAAAGAGCAGCACCCCTCCAGCAGACCCCAGGAAAAGCTACCCCTACATGGATGGAAGCTTCAGTGAAGATGACTGGGACAAGCCCAGCAGGTAAGGAGAGGTGGGAGGAGGCAGGGAGGTGTTTGGAAGTATGGGTGCCACTGCAGGGACAAAGAGAGCATGGGAATGTGATGGAGTGGCCAGTAATGTCCCACTTGGCATCAGGCAGCCATGGGGAAGGATGCTGGTGGTGCACCAACTGTGTTGGGCCACTTCCACATTGCCAGGTTACCCTGAGTGTAGCTCTGTGACACCTCTGCCATGGTCAGGTGACATTTGTGTCTGGAGTTAGGGTGGTCTCAGCTGCATGGACCACAGGCTCCTACCATGTTTCTCACTCCTGCCTTGTAAAGGCTGCAGTAGTTTTGTAGTATAGGTGTAATAAATAGATATGGTCAGGGCTGTCCCTGTATGTGTTGGCCAGACTTTTTTGAGTAAGGATGCAGCTTCACAACAGCTCAGTGCCACAAAGCAAAAGAGGCCAACCAAACTCTTGGAGGACCAGTGTGAGGTTGCACATCCATGTTAAAATCTATCAAAACTGTGGCTGGATTCTCTCTCCATCACACTTTGGCCCTTCCAACACCTCAAACAAAGCTACACTGAAAGAACATGGTCAAGTTAATCCCCCAGCTCAGCCAGCATGGGGAAAATGCTATAACACCTCCTGAGGCCAGGGAGGTGGCTGCAGCTGCCCCATGCTTTGGGTGAAAATCCTGAGGCTACCCCTCACTGAGCCACACAAAATGGAAAAGCTCCATTGCTTCAAAACTTCCCTCCCCTCGACATCCTCCAGAGTCCTCATAGTTGTGTGTGTCGTGTTATTACTGTCAGTTCTTTTTTCTCCTGTTTTTTTCCTTGACTTTTGTTTGTCCAAACAAAACCCTTAGAACATCTCATGGCCATTTCCACCTATTTAAAGATGATCAAGCTGGCAGGAAGGCTGGCAGCACTGGAGACTTTGTTCTTGTTTTGCCTCTCAGCAAGAGCCAGTTCACAGAGGTCACTGATCCCTCGTGGCCCTCCCGGCGAGGCTGCTGGCAGCTGATGTTGGCAACTCTGAACTCTCAAAACCCCCGTGTCCCTAATGAGGACTCTGAGCCCTGATGTCAAAGTGCAAGTGAGATGGTTCATGCTGCTGAGCCCTCTTTATTAGAGAGAAAATCAAACCCTGACAGCCTTTAGCATGGAAGAACCTGCTGATCCAATGATGTGGGAGCCCATTCTGATTCATCTGTGTCCTGGATGTGTTTGTGTATTGCTGCTCTGAGAGGCATTCACTGGTAACTAGAAGGGACATTTGCCCCTTTGGGAACCTGGGAGCAGAGGAAGGAAATGAGTAAAGGGAAAAAAATATCAAAAATTCCTCTTTGGGGGAAATTTTGGTTTGTTTTTATAAAGTCTTGCTGGGTGTTTATTTGACCTTTCTTCCTAGCATAAAGGCTACTGTCCTTTAAAAGCTGATGAAAGATAGGGGGTGAATTTAAAATACAATAAGCCGTGTCATGTACTGCTCTCTTCAGGAAGTGCATGATCCCACAAGGAGCAAAAGGATGTATGAGTTTCTGCCTTCTACAGACTCTCATTTAAACCAGTGGATCAAAGGGAAAGTGTATGCTAAAGACTTTGCAGTTGTAAAACATCTGGAAAAAAACCAAAGGGTCATTATATATTTAATGGAGGCCAAGCTGTCTGTGACATGTGCTCAAGTAAAATGTTTTGACTTTGCTGAGTGGCTCTGGTGGATGAGTTTCCCTTCCTGTCTGTGGAGCTGAAGACCATTAAACCATGCAAGATACTACCAGATGGTGCAGAGCTGGAGCATCATCCATGCAGCTCCTTATAAGACATGTATAAGATACATTAGGGCTGCTCTAATGTCACTGTCCCCTCGGAGCTCTTCCCGTGACACATTAGTGTGTTTATTGTGATCTTGATTTCACAGAGAGTTTCCTTCAAGAGGCTCCTGTTAAACACAGCACTGGTGGTCTGAGTTTTGCAGTCTGGTGTTCAGTAAGCAGTGTCCAGCATCACCTGCTTGTTTGTTCAGAGGATTTCACCATGTTTAATTGCTGTTTGATTTAGAGGTATGACCCTGGCTTGTGGTCAGAGATAAAAAGTGCTGAAACTGCCAAGTGGGGAATTGCAGAACCCCCAGCACATGGTGTTCATGTTAACATCTGTTTGTACCAGCTTGAGAGAGGTTCTCTCTAACCTTACTCTCTATTGTAGACAGAACTGGTGGCAAACTTTACACAGCTCTAAGTGCCAAGACTGCTATACAGCAAAAAAAAGAGAGATCTCCTGAAAGTAACAGCTCAGTTCCCTGGCCATCCCAAAGCAAATGAAACTCGGTTTGTATGGGTTGTACATGACACTGTTGATACTGCTGGCTGTAGTGTGCGTTTGCTTGTCCAGCCCAGGACAGTCATTTTTATATACATCTTTGCATTATTTACTCTCATAGAGACCTAATGTATTTATCATTTTCTCACCATGTCTGTTACCCTCTGTGTTTTTCTCTCTCTTCTCAGGTGTTCTGTGTCTCAGATCTGAGCTCTATCCCATCAGCCTTTGTACTAACAGTCTCTGAGGCTCCTGGTTTACCCATAACGCATCCTTTTTTCTTTCACTTCTCTATTTCACCAAAAAGTCTTCCTAAACCTACAATCTTCCTACAGGCACTTTTTAATTTACCCTTTGAACTTTGACATTACTACACCAACTTAATGCTTCCTTTGAAGGACACTTGCCCCGTTAGTAAATGCATGGAGGTCTCGTATGTGGACTCTTGTTTGAAAAGTTCATATTGTTTGCTTTTGTATATGAAGACTCTTCAAGTCTGCTTTTACTGGTGAGACACTTGCTGTAGCCTTGCAGCTTTCACCCTGCTGCAGAAGAGTGCTGACAATATTTGGTTCCTACGTTACAACAGATACCCCAACCGCCAAAATGGCCTTGAGACCACTCATGAGGACAATTTTTGGCGTGTTTTTGGAGAAGCTTTGGAGGATTTGGAAACATGCGGCCAGTCTGAACTTTTGAGGGAGATTGAGGTAAAGCACTTTCTGAATTTGCTGCTGACCTGACTGTTTTGCTCTTTCCATAAATGTTAGACCGTTTCCCCAGATGTTACTTGCCCATAGCATCCCTAAGCTGCCAGTGGTGTGAAGAAGGGTTTGGGATAAATTCCCATCAGGCTTTGTGCTAATGGGTAATTCTGCCTCATTAGACAGCTACTTGCATGTGCTCTTTCCCTGAGCCCATGTCTCGCCTGCCAGGAACTCCACGACCTTTTCACAAACCATTGCTGGCCAATAATCTTCTCATGACTGTTGGCAAACCTTCCCTATCCAGTGGTAAACCTTCTGCTTGGAAAGATATTGTCTGTCCAAAGCACTTGAAGGCCAAGCAAAAGGAGCCCCACAGGCCCCCATTGGGACTGAAGCCTTGGCTTGCTTCAAGTGCAGACAGGCACACGTATCTTGCATTCAGCTGTCACAGCCGGAAACTGTTTCAGTGAAATAGGTAATTGGAAGCTTTTCAGCCAGCCTTCCCCATGGAAAAATCTGAGAAAGTAATTGCTTCCTGCAGAAATAAAGGTGTTTCCTCTCTTCACAAACCACTTTCTCTTTTCTTTATCCAAAATGCTTTGGAGGTCATGTTATTGTGTCCGGTTATAGGATGAGGAGCCTGGATTTCTAAGTCATGGGATGCAAATAAATGGCCCCCTTGAGACTGTGAGCAGCAGGAAGCAAACCTGCCTTGCAGGATGGGGCATGTGCTGCTCCCTCCCCAAGTTCAGCTCCAACAGCCTGAACGAAGGAGGAGGACCCCATAAGACCATCTCTCCCTGTGACCTCCAGGTGCAGAGGACTGGGGAGAACTCTCTGGGTCATGCCCTCCATCACTCCCAGTGGGACTGGTTTTATGTATGGTTGCATATTGCTGAGGCTTCAGAGAAAAAAAGGCAACTTCTGACTAATTGAAGGTCGAAGAGGAAAGTCCTGTTTTGGTTTGTATTGTGACAAGGGACTTTCTAATTGTCCTTTCCTCCTCGATCCTTAGCAACTGTAAGTGGAGGAGGAAATCTCAATTAAATGTATTGTGTTGAAGCATGGAATGCTGTTTTATTATCTTAACTGCTTAAGAAAATGCTGACTAAAAAAAACCCAAGACACTCAAAATCCCCAAATCCCCAGCCTTCCCAGACTATACATTTTCCCCTTGATCACTTATTTCCTGGATCTGAATGTATTTAGAAACAAGTTTAGGCAGCTGTTCTCAACCTTTCTGAACAGTTGTTGACTGCTTAAGAGAAAGTACCCCTCTCTGAAATGAAGCATAAATATTTCTTGTCTGCTGGTATCTAAATACAAAAGAAGGGATTTGTTGGACTTCCTTTTGTTTTCCAGGGATCTGTGGTGCAATTGCTGTTTTATGCTGTTTGGAGCTTTGACAGTTACAGAAATGCTTTTAAACATGTAAAGGAATCTTACTGATTCTGTGGATTTCTGTGTATTAAGCACGTTTCTAGAATATTTCGGAAGTTTTGGGGACAGAAGGGAAGTGCTCTGTTTTTATCAGGAATCTGTTGGGTTCAACTCCTCTTTTGTCAAATCCAAAATACTACTGATCCATTCCTCCCTCTCCGTTTGCTCATCCTTTGTGAAGTTTGCTGTGGGACGTGCAGTGCTCATTAGGGCCTTTGCTATACTGCAGCTTTCTTTGCCCCAACACTCAGCCTCCTGTGATTTTATGACAGTCAGAGATTTGATTTGTTTGTATTTTTTTAAAAAATTGGCCCTTCATACTTTGCTTTTAAATAAGAAAAAGAGTCATACAAGGTGACCCATGATGGCCTAGAAACAGGTTCACACACAGTCAGAATCCACTTCCAGGCTATGAGTATGGGAAGAAACAGACTTTTCCAGTCAAGTGTGTGTCTCTGCTTTGCTTTGAGGGCAGCCAAGACAGGGGAATAAATAATGCAGAGCAGTCACAGGCTGGAGAAGTCCTGGAATTGCCCATTTTGCTACTTGTACTAAACCTAAAGCTTATGGAAAAAACTTTAGGAAATTACTTACGATGCTGCAAGGAGGATTTAAATGCCATGAAGATGGAGGAATCCAGTGCTTTTGGGTCCTGGTTGGTTGTGGTGTTTGCAGCCCGTGGGGGAGGGCAGTGGCATGGTTTGCACAGACCTTTCTGTTCTCCCTGGCTCTGCAGCACTGGGACAGCACAGCACAACAGCCTGGGGGCCGAGGCTACCCGAGGGCAGTGACCAAATGTACCCTGGTTGGCTGTGCTGTTGTTTGTTAGTCTGCCTTTCAGGTATGTGGTAAGTCAGTGTCCTTCCACGTACCAGGTGCTTGAGTTTTGTCCAAACCTGAGCTGATCAGGTCATTATGTGAAGACCTGAAAAGTGCAAAACTGAAAGGCTTCCTGTATTTTATGCAACCCTTTTTGGGATAACATGGATAGTGCTGGCATTTTCATATTGCCACCATAATTCACTTTATTTGCCTTTGTTCTACCTTGGAGCAAAGAGCTGGAGGGTCTTGATTAGAGATTTTGTTGGATGATATTTCCCCTGTGCACAGGAGCAATTGCACTTTGACTTGCCATGATTAGTGTTGAAGAATTTTGCTGTCTGCTCCCTACCTTTCCTTTAATTTCTCTACCTTTTGACATTTATTGAGACTGCAGACCCTTTGAACTTGAACTTTGAAATTACAGGTTTCATTACGCTGTTTAAACGGACTCTGTGACCTGGAGCCAGCTGAGGTTCCACAGTCTGGATTCTTGACTCTTTCGTTAGCTTTGATCAGCATAATCTCATTAGTGAAAAGCATTGCCAAATGGAGTCGAATCTACTTAGGGCCATCTTTTAATGGATGCTATCAAGGATGACCAGGCTTAAATACTACTTAATTTCATATTTTTAATTCAGTTTTGCTCAGTGACAGCTCCTGTTTACTGACAGATAAAATCCTAATTTTTGTGCTGAATTGGCCTCAGTGGAGTCCAAGGCATTGGCTCCCCTGGGCCATTGCCAGCACTGTGTGATGCTGGAGAGGAGCTGCAGCCTGCACAGGTAGAGAGGCTGGAGAACCAGGCAGACACTGGTTCCTCTGGGAGCTCCCTGAGAATGGTGTATTCATCCTCCTTGACTCAAGATGGTTCTGCACAAGGTGAGGCCTGCCTGGCCCTGTTTGTGTAGAAGGGGTCATGGAAAAATAAGGCAGTGCTTCACAAATGCTTCCTTCTGAGATTAAGCTCCCTGTTGGGGTGGGGATGGAGAACACGAAGTGGCTCAGCCATAGACCTGGAAGCAGGCTCCTGAGGTCTGGGAATGGCTCTTACAGCCAACAGGAAGAGCTTCTTGGTAGTTATTTTCTGATTAATGGGAGCAGTGGTGCTGCTGTGTTGTCCGTGGGCGCGTGGTCCGTGTGTCCTGCTGCTGGCTCAGCAGAGTGACCTGTGCCCTCGCCCTGCAGGCATCCATCATGACAGGGAGCGTGCACAACCTGGGCCTGGAGGGCAGCAAGCTGCTCCTGGACTCTGTCAGCCCCTCGGGAATGAGCCCACTGAGGAAAGCCAACTCCAGCTGCACGGATGGACAGACTGAGGGCAGCAGCTCCCCCGCCAAGAAGAACGAGAGGAACCTGGACATGAAGAAGATCGAGAAGGAGATGCAGGAAATCATGTCCCCGACCCCCCTTGAGTTTCACAAGGTTTGTGTCGCCAAGGGTGGGTGCAGCTGCAGTACCTCAATGGTTAAAGCTGCAGAACCTTTGCAACTTTGTAAAAAAATCTGCTTTGCTCAGAGGGACCCCCAGAAATTGGTCCTTGTTAAAGCTGGTCCTCACCGAGGTCTGTAGCAAAGGTTTCTAGAAGGTCAGATTAAGATGAAGGAGCCCCTTCAAAAGAGTAATGGGATTTAGCTGCCATCATTCAGCAGGGTACAAACCTGGGCTTTGCTATTTCTCTTTATATATAAGATTTCCAGGTCCTTGTGGTTTGGAGTTTGTTAATTGGTGCTACAGATAAAAGTGAAAGAGCTCGAAGTATGGTCCCCTGGAGACCCATCAGCTCTTTTCCTGTGGTACACTCCATTTAGTAGCCCACTTCCCAAATAAAAAACTACTTCCATCCTCTTCCACTCCACTTCAGTGATGGGATACTGGTTTGATTTCAGCATCCAGCTGAATGTAGCCAGTTTAACCATTGTGTAAGGCAGTGGTAATTAGGAAAAGTAATTAACTGTAGAAGCTGCTGATGTAGAATGCAAGCAGGGAAGGGAGCTGGAGAGGTTTCAATAATTTGATTGCCTTTTTCTTTTCTAATGTGATTTCAGAATGAAATCTGCAGTTATGCTACCTGGAAAAAAACCCAACTTTTCCATGTTTGATCCTCTTTTGCCCTTCAGGGCATGGCAAATGCGTCTTTAAATAAAACTCCTTGGTACCTGAAGGAGGAGAGCTGTGTAATTAGGCCTGTTATAGGGTGACTCTTCATTTTGCTGGAGCATCTGGTGTTGGCTGTGTTTGGAAATGAGGCTGAGGCCAGGTGGGATGTTCCTGTGTGTCATGCTGAGCATTGTCCTTCCCCAGGACTGCAGATCCATGAGGCTCACCCAGCCAGGAGCACAGTCATGGACTGTGAGCCATGGTAGAGGTTCACTCCCAGCTCATGGGAGGCAAAAGGAGATTTTGCTAGTGGGGAATCAGTTGTCCCTGGTTCCCAGTGTTACTCCATGGCAAGACAGACTTCCAGCAGTGCTCTCCTCCTTTAGACAAGGCCAAAGCATGATGTGCCCTAGGGAAGGATGCTGAAGTTGCCCATTTCTTGTCCTCAGAGTGTCAGCACTTACTGATATGAATTATCTGAAAATACCATGTGAATATATGGAGAATTTTAGATGTTCCTGCTGAGTGATGTATTAAAAATGAGCTGTCTTCACATTTGACTCACTACATTAAAAATTCCCAATAAACATGTTGATTTTTCATGTGCTAGTCTGGCACACACAGAGGATACACAGCACATCCTGGCCCAGGGAAGGTGATGCTCCACTAAAAACACTTGTTTGCCACTCTTTGGGTGAAACATGAGTGCTGTCTGTATTCCAATACTTGTGTTTCCTTCCACATCCAAGAACAAGGGACTGTCATGGGGTTGGTTTTATGCCAGTCACCAAAGCAATTCTCCTGTGATGATGGTCTCAGGTAAATAAGGCTCAGTCTGTGCTATCTACCCAGGCTGAGAAAAACCTGCCCAGGAGAACCAGAACAGAAATGCTGTAGGTCTGCACACATTACTCGTGCTGCTCCCATCCTGGCAGCCCTGTACATCACCTCCTTACTGTGCTGCATTGAAACCTTCTTCTTCTCTTTCTGCCTCTCCAGATGACACTCCACAAAGACCCAGAGAGTGAAGACTTTGGATTCAGTTTGTCGGATGGCCTGTTAGAAAAAGGTGTCTATGTAAATATGGTCCGTCCGGATGGGCCAGCAGATCAGTGTGGCCTCAAGCCATATGACAGAGTGCTTCAGGTAATAAATGCAAAATGCAGTTCTGGAGGCTGGGACGGAGTGAATGAGTGGCTGAGAGGAAGAGAGAAGTGAGACCCATCCATGGCAGCACTAACTTTAATGAAAGGTAATAGTTAGCCAACTAGGTGAGCTCTTAGCCACCAACACTCAATGGGACCTGTGTTTTTTAATAAGAAATCACTAGGTAGTACCTTCAGGTGGTACCCCAGGTGGTACTCCTAGGTTGCACTGGTCCAGGGCACAGCCTGTTCTGGCACTGGTCTTTTTGAGCTTGATCAGCTCCAAACAAGCAAAAAGCTGTGTTGCTTCCTTTCCTCACCCTCAGTCCTATTACTGGTATTTGGAAGAACCAGACTGTATTGACCAATATGTGTTCCTGTGAAGCCCCTTGTGGAATTAAGTGATGTTCATGAAGTTCTGTGCATGTCTTTGACAACTAGAAGAATTTTCTAGGAAACACATCCTTCAAGCAAGGTATTTTTTATGGATATTTTTCTTTGAAAAATGCTTCATCTGAAATAGCTGATGCAGAAACAGAATAAAATCTCTGGTCAAAAGCACAGTCTGTAATAATTGTGCCCTGGGAATATCGGACTACCAGAGGGACAGAAAAAAGCCTGGTGAGTTTTGGAGATTGGAGAGAAGCTCTGTGTGGATGAAAACCAACTATTTTAGCTTTGAGGCAACTCAAACACCAACTAAAGGAAGTGCAACCTCTGTGGAAAAATTGCCACCATTTAGAAATGCAGATATTGTGACCATATTTGGAAACACTCAGATGTTTAGTTTTACTAATTTCTAGGTGGGGGTTCTTAGCAGTCGGATTAGAGCCAATACTTTATGTACATCAGGTAACTGGAGGACTGGCAGCACTGTGGGGAACCTTGTTTAAGCTTGTTATGGTCTCTAGCCAGTTGGCTGCTATACAATTATTCCTTCTCAGCTTCAAATAAAAGATGGTGCAAGAATGAACAAGAAGCTAATTAGGCTCTGGGCTGCCTTTCTGCTCCATGTTGGATGTGCCGCTTTTTGTGAGTGCCAAGTACTCTGGGAGATGTGCCCAAAATCCTAAACAGAGCGGCATGGAGACTTTGGACACCCTTTTTCCACATGCTGTGCTGCACAGCTCACACCTACAGGCACACGAGGCGGCTGCCGTGGCGCTGACATGGATTTGGGAAGGAGGGATTGCAGACGTGCTGTAGTGACTCCCCCCAAGAAGTGCAGAGATGCATTGCTGAGGATGCTGCACAGTGCTGCTGATTGTGGGCACAATGATGTGCCTGAAGTTCAGCGAAACACCTCGACCCTGCTGTCACAGACCCTCCACTCTCAGCTGCATGGATTGACTGGAGCATGGCATTGCACTTAGTGACACTTCTGCACTGGAGCTGCCTGGCTGGCACAGAGCAGGGGCAGAGCAAGCTCCTGGTTTATCTCTCCTTGTCCATAAGTGGGCTAGAAATTGTCCCTCTGGTGTCAGGGACAAGTTCTGGGATCTCTGTGCTGACACTGGCTAGGGTGGGGGGACACTGCTGCTTTCACAGACCCAGCACTGTGGGAATGCATTAATTCTGGGAAGGGGCTTGGGATGGAAGGGTTGTATGGAGCCAGATGCCCAGCCCTTACCCAAAGAAGGAAGCAACACCTGGCCCCAGGTGTTATGTTCATTCCAAAGGCATATGGGAAATTCCTTTTCCCCTTCTCCACTTTCCATCCCTGTGCCATTTGCCAGCCTGCTCTGTCCCAGTGCTGTCATGGCACCAAGCCCAGGTGTTCTGGTAGCTGTAGGCAAGAGAGCTGGGGTGGTTTCTTCACATGACCCAGCCTAGAAATGTGCTTGAAGGTCTGCAAGAGCCAGCAGTAACTGCTTTCACTATTGAATCCTACAGAGAAAATTTGCAGCTGCCTCCTGAGCCCACATGAAATGCATCCAGACTCCTGTGAAATGAAGGATATAAATGGGGAGAGAGGAAGCAGAAACTATTTGGTGTAGTCTGGATTTACCTCTGGCTGAGCTGGAAAATGGTTGCCAGAAGCTTCATGCTTTCATTTGTGTTCTATGTGCTGGATACTTGGCACCACAAATTTAAGGCCAATAAAAGCCATTATGGCAAAAAAAAAAAAAGGAAAGTGGCAACATTTTTTCTACAGGCTTGAACAGGAGAACTTGAACAGGTTTTGAGCCCTGCCGTGTTTAATACTTGTAATACTGCCCCAGGCACTGGGGGTCAGGGTTCATGCCTGGTCTAGAACATTTTCTCCCTTCCTCTATGAGTTACTGCATCCTTCCTCAGCTAAGCATGGATGCTCATTCTTCTCCATTGTGAACCTGGAATCAGGGACCCCCAAGAATTGTGTATTTTTTTCCAGTTGGGGTTTAGCACTAATCTTGCATCTGCTGACTAACAAACATGATCTTTCTGTTGTTCCTCCCCATGGCATGTCCTAAATCCATCCCGGCAGGTAAACCGCATCCGAACGAGAGACTTTGACTGCTGTCTGGCCGTTCCCTTGATTTCAGAGGCTGGAGATAAGCTGGACCTGGTGATTAGCCGGAACCCCTTGGCCCTGGCTGCCAACACTCCCTCGGAGGGGAACAGAGAGCTCCTGGCACAGGGGCCCCGCAGCGCCGAGGTCAAGGCGAGTGTGCAGACGCTCTGAGCAGCAGGAGCAGAGCAGACGATGCTTCTGCTGAGCTCTTGTGGTATTTGGGGTGTTTTTCCTGGTTTTTTTTTGCACTGGTATTTGTAAATGCTTTGTGTACCATAACCTGCAAGTGGGGAGGTGGGTCTTCAGTGAGCCTGTAGACGGCCAAGTGTTGCTGGAAAGGTCAGAGCTGGGTGTGGGTCTGGGGCTGTGGCAGCGATGGCAGTGGGACAAATTGCCAACGGGAGGAAGGAGCATCCACAGCCATCCCCCATGGCAGGGCATCCCCCTGTGCTCCTGCCATCGAGTGTGCAGAGTCCTGCCTCTGACATCCTCCTCACCCTGAAAGGCATTGGCCATCCTACAGACACACATGGTGCTATTATGTTCTTTGTTTGCTCAGTTAATCACATACAGCAGGACTGAAATGCCTTTCCTTTTATGTTGTGCCCAGTTCCATCCTTTCAACACTCCTGGCAAATCAATTCCTGCAGCCCCTGGCACTCCTAGTGCAGGGCTGTGGAGAGAGCTGGTTAAAAGACACTTCAAAATGTGCTTGAGAGTGGCTAAATGCAATTCTTGTGCAAAAATGGCTATTTGCAGCTGTCTCCTGCCAGCCCTATCCACACTCCCCTCTAGGTCTGGCTCACCCCGTAGTGGGATTAGGCACCTTGTGTGGTTGATTCCCATGAGCAGTGTTGTTACCTGTGCTCAGTAGTGACTACAGAGTAGAGGCCATACCCAAGGCTAAAAGCCTTGAGTACCTGCCTGGATCCCCCTTGTTTGTCTGAGCTTTATGGAGATGTCTTGCTTGCAAACCTGGCCTGTGCCTGGAATTAAATAGCAGAATAGCAAAATTCCCTGATGTTTTGATCACTGAAAGCTTGCTGTCCCCCCTGAGGCAGAGGCATGACAAGCCCTTGTTTGGGTGGGTGTTGTGTCCTGTGTCCCATGGGCTGGGTGCCCCTTTGCCTGTTGCTGGCCTCCTGTAGCTCTGTGGCCGCTCCCCCCAGCCCTGCTGAGGGGCTGTGCTGTTTGATTGCCTGCCCTGTTCCCCATATTAGCACTTTATGATGGTGTTGGTGTCCTGGTGGCGGTGTGAGGCCGGCATTGCTGTCCCCGGGGAGCCCTGGCCATGGAGCTCACTCGGCTCCGGAGCCCCTGCCCCGTGCCCTGCTTGCCCTTCCAGCTCCCCCATCCCCTCCTGCACGCAGTGCTGTGTGCAGGGGTGGGCTGCTTGTCCAGCATGTGTCACTTTGCTGAGCCAGGTCTGTCCCCAACAGCCCCCTGTGACAGCGCAAGGTACCCGGGTGTTTCTTCCAGGCACGGCCCCATCCAGCTCTTTGTTGTTGTAGCCATTTTCTCTTTGAGTATGCAATATCCCATACCATTGCTGCCACAGCTAGATAATGTGCCATAATTGATACTGTGGAGCATTGACAGTGCAGCCAGAAGTGTTTTTATATGCAATATTCTGAGCAGTGGAAGCTCACTGGGGCTTCTCATAGGTTTTTAATGAAGACTTTTATTAAAGGCTTTAAAAAAAAAAAAAAGGAGGAAGAAAACTTGGTCCTTGTATCCCTTCCTATGCATTTTGAATGATATGAAGATGAAATGCATTACTTAAATGTGTATTTTTATCCATATATTAGAGTGTATTCCTTGTAAAGTATTTTTATATGCTAATTTTCTTATGTATCTATGAAAGCACAATATTTAAAAGTACAGCATTTCAAAGAATATTTTAGTCCTGTTTTGGACCTATTTGTAAATCTCTGTATTTAAATGGGATTGGAATGACTTTGACTTTTTTTTTTAATTAAATAAAAGCAAATGAAATGCGTTCGTTTTTGTTTGTGTTGCTTTCTGCTGGAGGATGATAGTGAGGCAACACTTTGCTTCCAATAACATTTTAACTTGCCAGGGGACCCTGTTTGTAAAATACCTTGGAGGACAAGGGGGAGGCCATGCAGAGGGTTTTGCTGAGAGGCCACTGTTCATAGGGCTACCAGTGTAGGGCTGGGGTTGTCCCTTGCCACCCACCATAAGCAGCAGGACTTGGGTTACTCCCCTCTCTGTGCCCATAGAGACAATTTTGCTGTAGCTGTTAATGGGAAGAGCTGGAGATGCTCATGCACGTGGTTCCAGCACTGCTTGCAGCTTTTCCACACTGGGAATCTTGGCTTCAAGCTGGGCTGCTCCGTGACAAAACACTGACGCAGCAAAGCACGTGGCAGCCGTGACGTGGCAGCATTTGCAAAGCTGTGGTCAATCCCTGGGGATGGGTTAGAGAACTCCTGGAGAATGATGTGCTGACAGGAGTTGTCCCATCTGGTGCTCAGAACACTGCAGCTCCAGCGGGGTGCTTTGGGGATCTGCACTGTGGTAGCCAAATTACCCCACCTCTGAAACCAGACATCCCAAGAAATGACTGCCATGAACTCAGAACACAGTTCTTGTATCCATGCATTAAAAATTTCTTCCCTGTGCTCCCAATGTGGGCAGCACAGGCTGGAATGCTCCCTGGACAAGGGCATTGGGAATCTGTGCTCACCAGCACAGAGAAGGTGAGCTGGGTTTTGCAACCTTTCATGGGTAAGGGGGTAATGCAGGAATTTCTGGAGACTGAGCAGGGTGTAGGAATGCCCCTGGTTAGGCTGGGGAATCATTGCCACATAAACAACCCTCATCTGCCATCTCTGGCTGCCCTTCTGGGGCAAAGACTTCAGAACAGGGCCCTGCACCGAGGTCTTGCCAAAACCACGTGGAGCCAGCCGAAGCACTGGGCCTGCAGGAGGCTGAATGAGCACCCAGAAACGTGAGCCTTGGGGCTCCGTGTGTGTCCATGGTCCCCTGTGTGCCCCAGATACAGGCTGAGAACAGAGCTGCTCCCTGGGATGTGCCTCAGTGGGCAGCACATCCCCTGCTGATGTCTCTTCTCCTCCCTTGGCTCTTGGCTGATGGCAGCAGCTGCAGCCCTGGGCAGGTGATGGCACCAGGGCAGGTGATTGAACAGCAGCTTGTGGCACTTCATGGCTTTTGAAATTTCCTGTTCATTTATTTTAACCTGAGACACACTGCAGTTGCTGTCTGTGCTCTTAAGAGGCTGCTTAGCCCAGGCATTGCAGGCTGTGCTGATGAGAGGAGAAACCTCTGACAAAGTCCTCAATCACACCCAGCAAAAAATAACCAACCGAGCCAAAAAACCTCAACTAGAGACAGCTGTGGGACTGATCCTGGGCTTGGAGTGATGGAAGCTCAGCAGGGATACTCAAATGTTTTATTTTCACAGGGAGTAGCCACATACATGTTGGTTTTTTCTTTCCCTACCTCAAATCAGGACTTCAGGAATGGACACATTGGTTTAACCTCCATCTGTTTGACTGAAGAGGCCCATCAGCAAGCTTGAAATAGCCAGCCCCATACACCAGAAAAATAAATGTTGGGATGGGTTTTTCCCTTTCTTTTTCTTCCTATTTTCTGATATATTTGAACTTTCACAGGAGTAGTGCCATGTATGGGCTGGGCACTGGCTGGTGAGAAATGGCTTTCTTTTGCATCACTTGGGTTTTTTTGTTTTTTACCTCTTTGATATGTTTTGTTGTGTTTTTTTCCCCCCTCATCCCCTTTTTTTTGCTACTTATTAACTTGTATCCCATGAATTTTTGCACTTTTACCCTTCTGACTCTCTCCCCATCCCACTGAATGAGGGGGTGAGTGAGTGGCTGTGTGTGGGGCTGTGCTGCCAACCAGGGTGAAACAATGGCAGATGTGAAGTTAGATAGCGATTACACATATTTTATATATATAGTATTTTATAAGGGCAAAAACCCCCACACCGACAACCCCAAAATAAGTAATAGGTTTAAAGGAAAAACGGAGCTACTCAAAGACCATAAAAACCCATCCAAGAGCATAGCTGGTTTATAAAGGAAAGTTTTATTTTCAGTTATAAGGTGATTACAAACTCATCTAAAAAAGCAAAGATGACTTAAAAATATCCATATACATTTTATTTATCTAAAAAGCAAAACAGAAACTGCAAAATACAAACATTTACCATATACACAAAGGCTAGGGGGTTTTAGGATTAAATTACACTCCAGGATTTTTTTTTTCAAATACAAATATTCCGTTTTGGAACACACAAAAATGTTTTAAAATGTTTTAAAAATATTTTTACATTTTTTTTTCTTTAAAAAAAAGTTCAGATGACATTTTTAAGGAGGCTATCATCGCCCTCGCCTCCTCACTGCATGTGCTACTCATTATCACATTACTGTAGTCACAGTTGCTAGGAATTTAAATAATTAAAAAAACACCACTGTTTTTTAGCCAAATACATCAAAGAAGATGGACCACCTCTTACAATGTGAAGTCCCTGGCAACATTATCAGGTAACAATCACAACATTACACTGGAGAAAAAATAACATCCTATTGAACAACGAGCACTTCAGAACAGTACTGGGATGCTGCGATGCTGAGAGACCAGCGCTGGCTTCCAGGACAGGAGCAGGTCATGAACTAACTCAACTTGCCCCCTCAGGTTTTTTTTTTTTTTAATCAGCCTCTCAACATAATTTTGCCACTGTTTGTTTGTTTTTTTTTTTTTTCTTATATTTTTCTTTATATATTGAAAAAAAAGTTCAACTCTTTCTAATATCTCAGCTGCAGAAGCAGGTACATTTAGGAACAGTGTGTATCGTGCTCACTGTGCTACAGGGCTGAAGCCTTCCCCCACAAATGCACACACACACAGCACATGCACAGCTCCTTAGCATAGCATCATTGAGTTCTGCTTTTATTTTTTTTTAATAGCTTTATTTTCCTCATTTCTTCTGATTTCTCAAGTCAGGCCATGTTTTCCCTGTGCTGCAAATGTGAAAGTGAGCAGCACCATCCTGCTGTGCACTGCAGAGCCACAGGGAACAAGGCTCTCAAATTTGCCCCTTTAAAATTATCTTCAATTTACTCCTAAAACTCGTGGCAATTAAATTCTGACACTTTTACTGATTATTTCAAATGAGGACACAGCAGCAATACAAAAAGGCTGTGTCTGCCATTCAATTGCCCAACGTTACCAGCAGGGTCAGGCTCTTTTCCAGCACAAACCCTGTCATCAAAGTTTTCCATCTTTGATGGGGATGGGTGGGTGATTTGTTTTCTTAAAGTTTTCAACCTGCAAAATTTTGAGCTTGTCCCTGTTTTTAGTGAAATGATGTCTCAAGCTATTTCTGCTCTTGTTTTAGGACATGGGTAAATTGAAATCAC